TTTTTTTTTTTTTTTTTTTTTTTCTTCAAGAGTAATCAGAAAAAATTTGAGATTCTTTACAGACTCGGAATATGAGCATGTTTAGCTGAATTTTATTCCTATTCATCGACGAGTAACGATCACAACTGTTTATTAAAATTTCATTCCATCATTAACAAAACATTATTTCTATCTCCACTTTGATTCGACATCGTTCAATTTCCTATTCGAGAACGAACCCTTTTGAGGTTGGCTGATTCAAATAGAAGAGCTTTTCCGACTGTTTCTCGTTTGACTCGCAGTCGTGACCATTTCCCTCGTACGGAGGTCGCGTAATGAGACATACTTCGGAATACCGACATCTTAACAATGGCCAGTCGTTCGATCGGTTTGTCGCGGCCATCGGCTAGTTTTGTTCACCCACCGAGGCACCATCTACCCTGACGATGGTATTTACCTCGATTAGCCAGAAAAGTGACTTTACCCGACTCCCTCTGTACTCCAACTTGAAACCCGAGTTTCTCGGGGGAACGACAGCGCGAGAGTGTTAAAATTCGCGACAATAATCTCGCGGCGATTCGATCTCGACGCTTGGTTTCGTCGTATGAACCGTCGACGTGGCGTTCTCTCCACCGACTTTCATTTCCGTTCCCCTCGTCTTGGTCGGTTCGCGCTTTCGACGCGCGTTCCGTCCGCGGAGACAGATTCATCAGCAATCTCGAAGAAAAGCTCGTTAAATCAGCGTGCCTCGGTCACGTAATTTCGCCCTCGGAGGCAGAGGAGTCTGGCGCGTAGATGAGAAAAATAGGCGTGTAGGGGGTTGATGGTTGGTGGTGAGACGAGAGACGAGACGAGACGAGACGAGACGAGACGAGACTTGGCGCAACCCCCGTTGGCTTGCACGTAAAAATTTCGCTGGGAAAGAGGGGTTGGTGATATGGTGGCAACGGTGACGGCGGCAGCGGCGAACAGCCGCGAGATATAAATCGGTGTCGGGGGATCAGCGTCGCGGCGCGTTGAAACTCGTTCGCCAATCAGAACGGAGCAGAGGCGTGGACTGGAACGGAAGCAGTCCGGAGTTGAACGGAGCGCTGGAGGGTGGTGGTACCAGGAACAGACAGGATAACCTTGAACAGGAGAGAGACGACGAAAGGCACGAGGGCGTGTTGAGGGCTGTACGAAGAAGGCGAGTGGGGTTAATTCAACGGCACGTTTCTGTTGTCGGTGAATATATGCTGGAGGCATGTAGAAGGGGAAAATAGATAGGCTCCCTACCCTTTACAACGACGATGACGACGACGACGACGACGACGACGACGACGACGACGACGGTGGTGGCAGCAGCGGCAGCGGCGATCCGAAGGGAACGAGCGAGCGAGCGAGCGAGCGATGTAACGAGAGGAGATCGCACATGCGCCAAAGCCACGTTAAACTGCTGTCGGAGAACGGGTTCGCGTGACTCGTCCCTGGCTCTCGTCAATTACGGCTAAGTACACGTATCGCGTCTAACGCGAAGAGGACACAGAACGTGATGAAACAGGTCGATAGCGCGCAGCAAAGACGTCGTATACACATTATTAGCGGGCGTCGTCACGCCGCGCCGCGCCGCGCCGCGCCGTGCCGTGCCGTTCGATGCCTTTGATTAAGACCAAACCTCGCCGTCCGAACACCGAACGACCATTTTAACTAATGTCATTCACGGGTAGAGTCTTTTGCGTCGTTCGTTTCACTTGCTACGAGACACGTTGCTCTTTCAATTAAGCGCTTACTTACTGTCTTACGTACCAGTTGGAAGATATGAAACTTACTTCAATGTTTCCTGGAAACATTGAATCTCCGGAAATGTGATTTTTAGGAAATTCGCCGCGAAAAAAAGGACTTTGCGTTTATTCAAATGGCGAAGGATGGAACGTACGACGAAAGGTTCTTTTAAATTCTGTTTGATTTGAAGCGGAGGCAAGGCCTTGAGGGAAGGCCAAGCAAACAAGCGCTCCTCCGCCGTGGTCCGCGCGAGTTGTTCACCGGTTCGTTATTACGAGATGCACGCGGCAATTACGGTTAAGTATAGGTGTCCATTATATCAGCTGAAAGAGAGAACCTCAGTTTTGATGGAACGGCTCGATAAGAATGACGGCGTACCGGATAGTTATTAGTGCTCGTCACGTCGCTTTACTCTGTACGAGTGGCAGCACGGTGTGCGGCATTTCGTTAAACGTAGAGTCTCGATGTAGAGTCATTTTTTCATTGCCCCGGGAAGCCGGTGCGTGCGCTTTACGACGCACCTACTGGACTTCTCTGCTGGTAGTAATGGTAATTTTGTCGGCAGTTGCGAACCCGCCTCGTTTCGCGTGCTTAACGACTTATTAAGTCACACGAGGCGTTAATCAGACGCAGATTTCGACTGTTCGACAGGGAAAAAGAAATGTCAGAAATTTGACAGTGTTTGACAGCCAGTCATTTCGCCGTGAAAAAAGAAAATTCATTCTCAACAGATCTTTGTAATATCGTTCTCCACTCCTCGACTCCTGTTGCCGTAAATGTTCCCGTAACAAATCCATTGCATAGAAGAGTCAAAGCCGCTAGAACCGTGAAACTCTCGCGAAACTCTTGCGAAACTCTCGTCCCGTGGCTGCTTATTTATTCGACTAACGAATTCGACGTGCACAGTCTACGCGTGTCCAACGCGATTGCCGCCCGGCCGGCGGACTGTTAGCGCATAAATAACCTTTCATTAGGTATACTCGTCGCTGGTATACGACGCTGCGTCGAACCAAGAAGTTTCTACACGAGTCCTTCCGTTACATGTTGCAAATTATCCAGCCGGATCGTTGTCTCTTTATTTCGTCATCGGATTATCCATACGTATCGCGCGTCGATCAATTTTTCATTCGGTCTTGCGACAGGCCTAGGTCGTCAGAGAGAAATTATCAGAAAATCGATTCGTCTTCGAACTTGCAAGATTCTCTGTGTGCCGCACACGTGTGGTCCACGATCGAAGGAGAGGAGCAAGCCCAGATGAAAGTGTAAATTTCTGTGAAAAAACCGCTCATTGATGAATAGTTTATCGCGTTCCGGATCCCGAAGAGAGAGAGAGAGAGAGAGAGAGAGAGAGAGAGAGAGAGAGAGAAGAGATCGCTCCGGAGTTCGTGGTCCTCTCTGACCAAAACCCCACCATAACGATCCGCTGCACGAGGTGTGTGTATCCCCTTCCACCGACAGGACACAATGGGCCCTACCTAAATATCGGGGGATCATGCTAAACGGCGGTAGATCAAAGGGACCGACAGAATCCAGTGGCGAGCTATCATAATAATTAGGCTCGCTCGCGCCTCTTTGTATCGGGATAGAAAAGCCGACGGGAAGGCCCGAGAGAGGAGAAGAAAAAGGGCCGGACGGACGGGACCGCTGGTTCGGTTTGCCTTTGCTCGGCTCCAACTGCACGATCTCTCTTCTCTCATTGCCTCTTACTTCTTTCTCGTCTTTCTTGGCCTTTGCTAAATCCGGAGCCTCTGAAAAAGCCTCGAGTCTCAGTAACGCGTGAATCTTCGATGATTCTTCAACCGTTGTCACGCTTTCCTCTCGTTCGCTGTAATCGAAACGCGCGCGATTCTCACGCAGTCGAACGAACAAGCAAACACGGAGCACCAGTTTTTATTTTATTGTGGGAATCGCATTTCAAAATTCATCTTGGAAAGCTGCGTTTTGCAATGAGGTGGATTTTGCATGGTTTCCATATGTTTTTTTCTAAGAGTCGTCACGAGATGTCTAGCGAACTTTGAAACGTATGTTTGTTCACAAGGCATTTGCGAATGCCTGAGAATTCGTTGCCCACGGGCAATTTGCGAGACAAAGATGCAAGAATGAGTATTGGTCTGTACCTTGTACAAAAGTAACGCGGACAGTGTCCACGAGTGTAATGTTACGCTCGGATACTGCTCGAAAAAGCTGTCGTTTCCTCTGTAAAATTTCAAAATCGTGCAACTATTTCTGAGAGAGAGACAACGAGAAGAAAAGGGAGGATTATAGAAAAAAAAAAGACCAAAAGGTCTCTCTGGTGAACTGATGAAGCTAGTAAGGGGTAAACTTCGATCTTGTCTGGCAAGAAGCTTGATGGAACAGTTTCGTGTCGTGTCGGCTGCTAGTTGTCGACCAGATTGCTACAATTACATGGCGATTCTCAGCACCGATCGCGGGTAATAGTCTGTATGTAATAGTCGCAAGATACCTTTCTAGAACCGTTCCGGACGAACGCGGCTAAAAACGACGTTATTCAGTCCGCGATTCCTCTCCTCTCCACCATCTCGTCCGACAATTGTTCCCAACGATTCCGGAAACATGTTCGCCATCGAGCACCGCACAGGTGACTTCCGCTTATCTCGATCTGGACAGACACGGAGGAGCAAGCGTCCACAGAAAAATCAAATACGAGCTAGGATCGTCAAGATTGGCCTTCGTAGAAACGAATCTCTTCCTCGACCGATATCGATACCGATTTCTTGCTCCCGTTTTTATACCAGGGAGAAACCGTACGTAGATTTTGGACCAAGTGAAACGCGATTGCGACGCTGTTACGATGGACTGTGACAAATACTTTGCGTTGAACTCGAAAATAATTTCGCATCGTGGCATCTACACAAGTATTCATTCACATTGAACGATGAACGAGTCGACAACGTTGGAGGAAGATCAGACCAAGTTCGAACGAAACAACGTATAAATTAAACATCGGGGGGGGGGGGGGGGGGAGGCCCAGAAGAGTCGAAGAGCGCGAGTTTGGAAATTCCACTTTTTAGTATGGACTCGTTCGCGAGTGGCGGTCGAGCGGAACGTTAGAAATCGGCAGTCCGGGTGGGATGAAATCACGGTGGGCCTCGTTAGGTGAGCTTTTCGTCGTGGAGGGTCCCATCCCACGTTCGAAGCCAGGCTTGGACGAACGACGAGGAAGAGAGAGAGAGAGAGAGAGAGAGAGAGAGAGAGAGAGAGAGAGAGAGAGAGAGAGAGGCAACGTGAAGAAGAACGAAGGGAAGGAGAGGCAGAAAGAAAGGAAGAAAAGGAGGAGGAGGTACGCGTAGCTGAAAGAGGAAGAGCAAGCCGGAGTAAGAACGTAGGAACGAGAGAAGAAAAGAAAGAAGGAAGGAAGGAAGGAAGGACGAAAGGGCCGGGTACGTTAAAGTCGGTGGAGCAGCGCCACAGGACGTTAAGTACGTCTCGTAAAAATTCCATCGAGGCAGCGTCATTTTGCCGTGTCTAAGGGGCTACGGTCTGGTCTGACCGGGGGTTTGGATAGGCAGGTCTAACCCTGAGGCCGCCCATGTACAACCAAGTAGGTACGTCCCATCAGTAGAGGTGGTGCACAGACCGACCAGACGTAGTAGGGGATTCGAACGATCGTGCTCCCTCCTACGGTTCGTGTTCGAGGCGGTCGAGAGTGAAGTGCCTGCCCCTGCAGGAACTCCGGCCCGAGATCCCCGTCCCCGTACCATTTCGAGTCACTGGCTTGACCTGGTCTGATAGCAAGCCACGAAATCCCGTAGCTCGTTTACCATCTACGTATTGACGTTTCGTCCGCGTCTACGGAACCCCGACGTTCGACATGCTCGTGTCTGACTACCGGATCATCGGATTCCTCCGACAGTTGTGTGCTACGAGGCCGTGACAGTGTGCCGTGATCGAGACGTTTGACAGCCAATGTGCGTGTGAAATTCCGTTTCTGGTGATAGCCAACGACGTCTCGCGCGCCTCTTTCGTTTCGGAGCAAACGATACTTGACAGAGTTTGGATGATCGATCGACGAAAATAGGAAGCTACTACGATGATCGACGGTGAGGACAGTGGTTCTTGAGTCTCTCAGACGAAAGAAATTGCACGGACGTTCGTACATACTGTCGAGCTGACCCCGTTTTGTGACTTGTCTCGATAACCGTGTGAGAATCGATTGGAAAGGAGATTCGTCTCGTGATGGTACGGCGAGAGTCGTAGAATGTTTTCGTGATGTAAGACAAACCGTTGGAACGATGACTGGGGACGATCGGCAGGGGTTACAATGACGATGCATCGTTGAGAGCAGAAATTGCGTCGAAAAATTGGCTGTGCAGGAAAACCACGGTATGATGACTGGTTGGATTCGAGAGGACCAGCCAGTCTGAGTAAGGTGACTCTAGTGCGAAAAAATGCGGGCAAGTGACGGACAGAATTTCAGTGAATGTTGTTGTCGTTTCACGTGCGGGTGCTGCGCGTGAACTGTTGACTGTCGTCTAAATCGATCGTATCTCGTCTGATCGTCAGCAGGGTTTCGAGAATTCCACCTGGTCAGGAGGATTCGGCAATTATCTATCAGGAATGTGCACCACGGAAATGACAGAATCGTACACGATGTCGCCGTCGACGACGGTGTCTTCCAGTGCGACAACGCCAGGCTGCCTAGGATCGCCGGCTCACCGACGGACGCCTTGCCGTGGCTCTCCCGGTCGAGGCGACGTTCAGGACGACGAGGACGAAATCTCGGTAGGCTGCCCGAGCCCTTTGCCCCTTGTCGTCGTTGCACCGAGTGTTGCGGAGGAGGACGAGAGGCTGTCGCAGTCGAGGGAAGAATACGTGGACAGATTGAGCCCGCGGAGAAGCTACCCGAGAGATTCGGTCTCGATCGAAGACGAGGACAGTTACTCCCGCAGTGGCGACTACAGGATGTCGAACGGAAGAGGGTTACGCACCCGCGAGAGCAGCGGTGGTGATTCCGTGACCACGTTAAGGGACGAGGAGGAGGACGAAGAAGATGACGAGGAAGTAAACAGTAGGACTAGCAGTAACGGTGCCACGGCGGCCGGTGCCGCGGACGATTACTTCAAGCCGTTGAAACGTCTGAAGATGGTGCAGATGCAGCACTCGGACGAGGAGGACGACAGGGATCGGGACACGAACGAACGAGGGGTGAAGTCTTTCAGTATTCTGGACATTCTGTCGCATCGACCCAAGGCGAAAATCGTACGCCCGTGGGACACGGTCGAGTCGAATCTCAATCATCATCATCGCCATCATCTTCAGCAACAGCAGTCCCATCATCCACACCACTTGCATCATCATCACCATCATCATCATCACAATCATTCCACGACGCCGAGGGATCTCTCATTGATGGGTATGTCTCTGGCGTCTATGTCGGCCGGCTCCATCAGCGAGCCGCCTCTCAGCAGCTCGTCCTCGTCTGGAAGAAGCTCCGTCTCCGATTCCGGAAGTCCTGACCCGCTAGGCCATCATCATCATCACAGTTTGCATCATGGTATACACCCTGGCTTGCATCATCCGGTGTTGCAACAGCAACAGCAGCAGCAACAGTTTAAAAGGAAAACGTCGCAACAGCACGGTTCCCAGAGCGGTCACCACGGGAAAAGGACAACGGGACAGGGGAGTCCCCTGGACGCGTTGTTCCAAATGACCAGCAAAACGTTCGACGCCGGCGAACACAGTCAAGGTGAGCTTACGTTTTCACGTAACAAGCTGGCGATTTTCACGCAACGAGTATGAGCTATCGTCTCGAGAACAGGCGCGATATCGCCACAGCCGCAGAATTTATTTCGAAGGTGAGGATCGTTGGACGCGTGTATCGCGCACGCGGTGAAAATAGGAATTATTACGGAAGCATGATGGAGCAACTGATTACGTGTGTCGTATTTCAGTCGTGGTGTGTATACGTATCGTCACGATACCACTCCTGGCGGTGTAACCCCTGTGAAACAATGCTTGGCATGATTCCTTCATGCATGCAAATTCTCCGCCGAGCAAACGACTCTTAATAGAATCTTAATAGACGTTTCTTTATTGATGGCGTGGAAGCTCGCTTTTGTGCTCCCGCCGTGGCATCCTCGATGAATGTAGCTCTTGATTTTGATTGATGTTCTCGCTGAACGTCGATGTCCGTCGTATGTTCGCTTCTTCCGCCAATACCACCGATAACACTCTGCTTGTTATTGTTTCCTACGACACTGTGGATTGAATCATTTACCTTGGAACCCACGAATTCGTTCTACTTCTCTATGGTCGATTGTCAAAAATATTAATCACCCTGCCATTGTTTCGCGATCTTTTCTTTATTCCGACCGTGTAACGCTCGACCTGGAACTGCCAAGAACGGTTGATTACGCCACGATCGTACAACGTTTTTCGTCCGTTTGTCACCCATTTGTACCGACAGTAGTACAACAACACGCGAATACGACACGCTATAACAATGTCAATAGGACGATCTCGGTTTGCTTCTTTTATCTCAGTATTCCAGCAATTAGCGGCTAAATAGCTCGGGGACCGGTCCCCGGTTGAGGCGCCGCTTCGTTAGACAGGCTCCGTTATAGTATTTAGAGACGAGAGAAGCGATGCACACGAGCATCTTGGAGCACATACCAAGTGCTACTTTCCAGAAGCACGCTTCTGCGAACGCTACTAATATTAGTAGCTGCTCTTGCCGCCTGTTACAAGATGCACCGTAATCGAACGACGATGACATTTTTCATCGTGATTTGTTCCTTACGTGTTGCTTGGTTTTTTTTTTTTTTTTTTTACGGTTGTATTGTTCGAGAGTTCGAACAATTGTTCCACGTAATCTCGAGACTGGGATAAATCGTGGCTACGATTGATGGTACACGGGGGGACAAACTTAATGGGACACGTGGCAACCGTTGATCGATCGTTGTTTATTCCGTTTCTCGGTCAACAAGACATTTTGTTCGTTAGAAAGACGTGGATAAGCCTGCAGTCGTCTGTTTGTCGAACAAATTCCAGTGATTTTCCTCTGAACGAATTCGTTTCTGATCGTTTTTGTTGGTACAGGTTTAAAAGGGGTGCAAACACCGAGGAAAAAAAACGAGTTGTAAAAGTTGTGTTCTCCGTCCAATGTCTCGCCTTATCCAGGTTTCCGAGATCTTACTGGAGTTCTAGTCTGCATCGGAGACGCAGTAAACGTAAGAATGTCAGTCGGAAGAGGGATTTTCGGTGCAACGACACAGAACTAACTCTGAAAAAGAATTCGATTTACCAATGATATCCTTCGAAATCGACAATGCAAACAGGCCGTCTCCGGCTGTTTGTAACCTTGCTTTAATCCAATTACCTGCAGCAGTAAAAGGCTCCCCAGGCTTTGGGAGCGTGGTTGCGCAAACATGAGCCCATTTTCCGAGACATGGTCTTTTAGACGAAACGGTGCCGACGAAACATCGTAAAATCCAGTTTTCCGTAACCCAGGCCGGGAGTTCGCAAATTGAATCTGGCATCGCTTTTGGTGGGATTAAAATCGGTGCCGAAAGGGGCACAAAGGTTCATAATAATCATCGTAAAATCAAAGATTTACGGAACGAAGAATTGTTGCCGGCCTAGCCATTTTTTCTCATCAGAGATGGCGCCCTCTTTGAAGTACCTTTCGACGACCGTCTTTGTGATCGTCCATTATTTACCGTAGTCTTGGCAAATTGTTTTACAACACCGTTGGCTCACGCCAAACGTTGGCGCGTAGCAGGCGTGTTTGCTCGAGAAAAGGGAACGATTTTTTTCCTTCCACAAAAGCTCGGCCACGTAAACGACGAGCTGGTTCATCGAGGGTGGCCCAAGAGCAGATTTCCAAACGTTCCTCCGAAACTATTGTCTCTGTGTTTAATGAGAGAACCGGATGGCCTCTCGGACGGTTGTATTCTCGTGGAACGCTTTTGCGGGGAAGGAAAACGTGGGAGCGTGGGAATGCTAGTAAGGGAAACTAACCACCTTACGACCTGAAGATCATGCAGATCGCGAGATAAGATGCATCTGTCTTGTTCAATTTCGTACTGTGTATCGCGATAGGAAAAGCAAACATATCGCTGTCCTCGGAGATTTCAATATTCTTTGTAACGTCGGTGGCACGATAATGACAAGGAAACGATACCGCGTTCTTAGACAGCCGGATTGTTCGGACATCAAGACATCGTTCATCATTTTCATACCGCACTTCCGTTCTCTCCTCGTCCAATTACTCCGCGCGTACGGTGCCGGCGTAGGATGAAAAAAATTTCTCGAGCCACGGTGCACAGTCGGCTTTAAAAGGGACAAGAAAGAGGACAGAGAGGGCGAAAACGAAAGAGAATACGAAGAAGAAATAAAAGGGACCCCGTTCCCCGACGAAAGGACAGTTTGGCATTACGTTCGAGGGGCGCGTAAGAGGCACGTATTATCCCGTAAGACGACCAGACGTGGACGATCGCGCGCGCGCGCGCACCACACACACGGGCACCATAGCTCGTTACACGTTTCGGTCGGGGTCTGGCCTCGGCCGTTCGTTCGTCCGTGTGTGTCCCTGGCAGGACCAGTACGTAATTTTAGGCCCACCTATACACCGGCGATCTCCACACAAGTAATTTATTATGTGGCGCGGCGAGAGCATATGTCTCATTTGCATATAGCGTGATACAGAAAACGCGAGCCAACACTTCCGACGGCGGCGGCCAATATGCGAAACATTTCGACAAAGGGACGTCCTCAATATCTTTTTTCTTTTTTTTTTTTTTTTTTTCTTCGTGGTGTACGATACCACCGCGATCGAGTCGACCCGCGACGATGATCCGTACAGAGAACCGTGTGGGACTCTTTGAAGCTTAACTCTCGACACTGGCACCATTGGGCCATTGGAAACCATTCTTCAAGATTTATTTCATCACTGCAGATGCAAATTGCAAAATAATCTATTACGAATTGCTATTGCTGACCTGTGAGCCAACTGTGATTCTGCTTGAAAACGAATATTTTTTATTCGTTGTACAATCATTTTACAATTGCAGTTTGATATTATTTGATAATTGTAACCTCTGAAAGTTAAGAGTTTATCTCGCAAAGTAGAAGAGAATCTGCAATTATCTTGAACACTCTGTTTCGATCGGTAGTATTATCGGCACGATATCGGGTGATATCGACACCACGTGTGAAACGTGCATCAATCGTGGTACGTGATTGATTCTCGTGAGAACGTTAATTTATCTAGAAATCTCGCAACTCGACGATCAACGTTCGATAACGAAGGAGTCACTTTCTGGCGGAGAAATTCTCGCAGGCGATTTATGGCCCCGGCGGCGATCGTGTGGGTTTTATCAATTTTATATTTCGTTGGAAATGCCACTTTTTAGCGGCAAGGGCGTCTTCGGATCGCGGCGGAGGAGCGAGAGAAAGGCGGCGAAGAAGAAGGGGAATGGCTGTTCGCCTCGGGCTGCGTGGTATAAAAGCCCCGGTGCGCCTTCGCTTTACGCAATTTATGATACGTTCTTTAAAAGGGCTAACATTAGGCAAAGAGGCAACAGCTACACGGGCCGTTACGAGCCGTTCCGTGATTGGCCGCACGCGTATTGAAAACCAGACAAAATTAACCCAAAACTCGTCGAACGGTCGTCGTTCTCGACAAATTTTTTCATCGTGGAGGAAAAACGAGGAATGGATGTTCGATACGTACTCGCGTATTCAGAGCAACCAACAAACTTCATTTTTTACACGGTATATTTTTGATTTCACGATATGTACTGCTTTCGAACGTGTACTAAAATACACGCGTAACACACACGTAAAGTAGAGACTTGTAACTGCTGCCAGTATAATACGTATAGCTGGATGCTAAAAAGATGACAATCGGTACGTTAGGAAAGGCAAGTTCTCTGGTTAATTCTCACTTTATTCTGCAATTGTATTAACTATACAATTTTTAACGGTAGACGTGATTGTGTTTGGCCAACGTGTGTATCTCTTATTTTTCTGCGTCTGTTGACCCAATGAACTAGAGCCAATCACAGCCATTTCTTCAGCTTGCAGCAATGCGTCTTGCCGATTTCTCACGTTCCGTGCCGGGTGCCCGATGAAATTCGATTATTTCCATTATCCGACAGGCTCCCGGGTAGTCTGCTGGGGGTTGTCGGAGCGTTGGCGCGAGATGGTCCGTGAAAGGTTTTTGCCGCGGGAGAACGCGGCGCGATTCGTTCTCTTCTTTACCCCGTGCCACCCGGAATACGCATAAAATACGTATTCCGTTGTTCACACGAGAGCCAATCGGACCGAGCCGAACGAGAAAGAGAGAGAGAAGAGGCGCAGTAGTGGAGCAGAGGCCAGCCAGAGGTTGCCTTCTTGGAGAGCGAAGCTCGCTTGCGGTCTCGGGACCAGAATTACAAATGATATCGAATCGAATCGCTCGTAATATTATTCGATACGTGTTCCATTACTGGCCAACCCCTGGGCCTCGGGATTCAAATTAGATTACCGCCAGGTTAGGTATTCCCGATCATACGTACCCTCTCGTGTCCTGCTACGTTCCACGCCGTATCGTTCGACGCGTACCAGCACATCCCGCGCGATACGCTATAGAAATTTATACGTACCGTAACTACGTTCGTACGTATTTTTGCTGAAGCGTGTATATAGGTGAGCAATTGGTGCGTGTATAAGATCGAACACATCGAACACCGAATGAGAGAGAGA